TGCTCATAGTGGATACTAGACCCTGCTCACAGTGGAGAGTAGACCCTGCTCACAGTGGATAGTAGATCCTGCTCACAGCAGATGCTAGACCCTGCTCACAGTGAGTAATGGATGCTGCTCACAGCAGATGCTAGACCCTGTTTACAGTGAACTCAATCCATCAGGGGCCCCTTACAGGCAGTGCTGAAGGGACAGACCATGGAGCAGGAGTAAGCCTTGGCCACTAGAGCGGCACCTGATCCAGATGAGAGAATCAAAGCAGGCTTCCCAGGCAAGTGCCCAGCTTCACCACAGCCTAAGGAACCAGCAGAAGACAGCGGGCAAGACGTAAGGAAAGCTTGACCTGCCCAAGGTGCCGGAGCCCCGTACTGCGAAGTATTTCTGTATGGCAGAGAGCAGAGTGGAAGTGGAGGAGAAAACTAAGTGAGGTGAAGAGGCAAAGGGACCAAATAACAAGGGGCTTCATATGTCACCACCTGAACGTATCCTAAAGGAAATAAGAAGCCACTGAGTTTGTGACACAAAAGAACGACATGTCATTGCAGAAGCCGTGCGGCAGAAGGGGTTGGAGGTGCTGGAGACTGGAGGCAAAAAGGCAGCCGAGGAGGCTGTGAGGAGATGAACGGAGGGGACAACCATGCGGCAGAGAAGGGTTGGACCTGGGACAGGGCGGAGAGGTGCAATTGCCGATGTTGGGAGCACACTGGTCGCAGGCGTCAAGGGAGAAGGCAACGACGGCTTCTCGTTCCATTACATGGGTGAACGGCGAGGGGAGCCCCTTCCCCTGAGGGTGAACAGAAGCGGAAGAGCAGGTGGGAGGGAGTAAGAGCCCTGACTGGGGGCCACTGAACCTGGCAGGCATGTGGTGGGAAGGGGACTGGCCAGGGTGGAGGTCGCAGAAACAGGAGGAGAAGCAGGTGTGGTGGCATGCGCCTGTCATCCCAGCACTCGAGATTACAGGCAGGAGGGTCACCATGAGTTCAGCGCCAGCCTGGGCCGCATGGCAAGCCCCCATTTCCAAAATGTCACTCGAATGGCCAGCAATGTCAAACACTTGTTATGTATTTTTTGGCTGCTTGAGTTTCTTCACCTAAGTGTCTATTCATTTCAGATATCCGTTTTTGTAACTGGGTCTTTAAATTTGAGGAGGCTTTTTAAAAATTCTTTATATGTATATACTAAATATTAGTCTTTTGTCAGAGAAGTAGCTGGCAAAGATGATTTTCCATTCTGTGGGTTGTCTATTCGCTGTGTGGGTAGGCTCCGTTGCTGTGCATGGGGAAATGATCTCAAGAGACTGTTTTCAGAAGAAGAAATACAGATGATGACGACAAATTTCAGCATCGTTAGCCATCAGGAATACAAACCAAAGCTACAAGGACACAGCTCACCCCAGTTAAAGTGATTATTCTTTGTAACCTAATGAAATAGTTTATCCTTTCTTTTGGCACTGGGAATTGAACTTGCTAGACAGGAGCTTATGCCTCTGAGCTCTATCTCTGGCCCTAGAGTGATTATTAAAAATGTTTAAAGTAACAAATGCCAGGGTCTGGGGAGATAGCTTGGCAGTCTAAGCACTTGCTTGGCAAGTGCAAGAACCCAGCTTCGATCCCCAGTACCACATCCCAGGTCAGCCCTGGAACCGCGGGTGTGCCTTGCTGCCCACCCAAACTGGGCATGGTGGCACATGCCGTAATCCCAGCGCTGGTGAGGCTGAGACAGGAGGATCACTACAAGTCTGAGCTGCAGAGTGCGACCCAGTACCAAATAAAAGATCTTAAAAAATAAAATAACAAATGCATTGAGAATGTGGAGAAAAAGAACTTCCACCCTCAGCAGGCAGGAATTGGCCTGCTGCACACGGGGCTGCGTGGGTCGCTGAGGCACCACTTGCCAGAGTGCAGAGAAGACCACCCCGGTGCCCACCCGGGGACAGACTACGACTTGGGCACAGGGGCTCAGGAGGCCAAGGCGGGAGGACAGCAAGTCTAAGGCCAGCCTGGCAGCTCAGCAAAGTTCTGTCTCAAGTGTTTAAAAAAGGAGGGGGCTGGGGATGTACCTTAGTGCAAAGCTAGTTCAGTCCTCAGTCCCACAAAAAGAAGTAGGAGAGAGTGAGAGACAGAGAGAAAGAGAGGACAAGGGGAGGAGAGGGGGAGAAGAAGAACAAGGAGGAGGAGGAGAGGAGGAAGAGGAGGAGGAGAAAATGGAGGAGGAGAAGGAGGAGGAGGAAGAAGAGGAAGAAGAGGAGAAGGAAGAGGAGGAGGAGGAGGAGAAGGAGGAGAAGGAGAAGGAGGAGAAGAAGAAAGAGGAGGAGAAGAAGAAAGAGGAGGAGGAGGAGGAAGAAGAGGAGGAGGAAGAGGAGGAGGAGAAAGAAGAGGAGGAGGAGAAAAAGGAGGAGAAGAAGGAGGAGGAGGAGA